CCTCACACCATGTAAGATGAAAAAGGTGAGGTAATTTAGTGAGCAATTATTGTATTGTAAAATGTCAAGTTTAAACTTATTGGACCCATTATAGTCCACAAGTTTTCCAACTTCTTGTAAGTTTAGGATTAGACCAGTTCTGGGAGACAAATCTACCACTGCATTCACTGATTCAAACGCAGTTTTTCATATTAAATATTATGCATTATTAGTTTTTTAAAGTACTAAAAATATTTATTTTGACAGTACAGACAGAAAGATGCCACAATAACCCACATTATTCAGAACGGAATAAGGTCAGAAAATAAACATTCCTGATTGACATAGCATTTATTTTATTTCAAAAATAAAATACATTTATAAATGGTTCATACACAGTGTTCAAGAGCTCCAATCTTGCAACATTTAGATGTGTCCCTTTTCCAACCTGAACCACATCTGAATTAAACGGCTGATTTCTCGTTTAGAACTGAACTTATTGGTGGGTCAAGATGAAAACAAACTGAGTACAAGCAATTTGTGCTGAATATGTAACTACCTTTCATTACATGCCTGTCTGAAATGATGCAGAGCTCCAGGAGAGGGCCAAAAGTCCATAAGGGTTGGGAATTTCTAAAAAAATTCGTAGATGAAACTGAACTCTTCTATAGCTCTATAGTCATTTTTATACTATTAAAACATGCAGTTTATGCGAAATAAAATGCAGTCAAAGACTCCAACACTTGTATTATAAAAATTGTCCCTTACATTAAGGACTTCTGGTTACACTCCTAATATCTGGACAGTCTGTTTAAGCACTCTCCTGGGATTTTGGCATGGCATTCCAGACCAGATGGGAAGTTTTGCTTAGTGATCATCTGCATGAGACTTGAGATATGACCCCTTTCACAGGGGCCACAGTTTATCTGCATGTTTTCATGTCTAAGTTACTGAGTCTGTCCATGCGAGCTCTGAGATTTCACCAGACCGAGACAGGTCCACAGTGAAAAACGGCAGTATCAGGTATTCATTACCTCCACCAAGTAGGTTATGTTTGTCTCTGTCTCTGTCTGTCTGTCTGTCTGTTGCTATATATGTGAAAAAGTTATGAACGGATTTGGATGAAATATTCACACAAGGTGTATATTAAGACAAGGAACAGATGGTTTGATTTTGGTGGTGATGTGTAGAACCATCTGGATCCAGGAATTTTTGGAAGGATTCTTTATTTCCACATGCTTCGTCACCCTGTCAGCAACTGACATGCAGTGGCCTTGACAAGGTCAGCACTCTAAGCGCTTTTCTAGATCCAAGGTGTTTTTTTGCAAATCGGGGTAATATTTGTCCTGCTTTAAGCATAAATATGCATTCATGTGAGTTATTTCCTGAGAATGCCGCAAAACATAACCCAACAATCATAATTTTACTAGTCTTTTACTTCATACAAAAAATTAAAATATCATAGAAAAGCATCACATTACGCAAATTGAAAACCACCACTGAAGACTGGAAAATTGACCTCAGAGCTTAAACTTGCCATACATTTTTTTAGTTCTACACATCTTCTCATACAACAACCTCCAAAATATAGAGGGCCTACAGCATGCATGTACTCCATCTACAGTCCAGATATTAATAACTCTTGATTCTTCAGCAAGCTGGCCATATACCAAGTCTTTAAACGAGGTGTGTCATATGTACCAACCATATAAGACTTCTCTGACTGAGGAGGGTGTGCACTGCCTTGCCAAACTATCCATCCATCATCTATACCCTCTTTCCTTGCAGGGTCTCAGTGGCCTGTCTCCAGCGGTAATTGGGTGAGTGGTTGGGTACACTTTGAACAGGTCACCACTCTACCACAGGACAACACAGAGACACACTGGACACAAACGACAGTTTAGAGAGACTAATTAACCTAACAGTCCTGTTTTTGGACTGTGGGAGGAAGCTGGAGTAACCGGAGAGAATCCACAGAGGCAGATTTGCAAGCTCCATGCTGAAAGACACCAGGCCAGGATTTGAACCCAGGACCTTCTTGCTGTAAGGCCGAATCATTCCAAACTATTGAATGATGTTTTTTGTTTTTTTCCATTTTGTCACATCACAACCAAAGCTTTAATGTATACTATTGAGATTGTATGTGATAGACCAACACAAAGTAGAAATTGTGAAGTGGAAGAAAAAAAATGCCCATGTAAAAAAGAACCAAACTTGACATTTAGAATACAAAGCAAAATAAATAAGACTCTATAAAATAATTACTGGGCCAAAAAGTAGCTAGACATATACATTACAGTGCCATTAATGCAAAATAATAAAAAAGATTTATTCAATAGCTGATCAGTTGATCAGATATAAATACATATTTCTATGTCATTCTTTAACTATTGTAATTTATTTGTTTGCTATTACGCTTATTTTGCATTTAAACCACTAATTATGGCAGGTTTGGTCCTCCATACAGCTGAAGATATTTTGACAGCAGGGAAAAAATAAGCACAGAAACAAAACCATCTGCAAGAGACTGAGGCTGACAGAGGGCAACGTGCTGCAAATAATAGAGCCTGCTGGAGAAATGCAGTCCAGAAGAGCATCAAGGTAATCACAAGGATCTCTGACCTTGCAACCATTCAGCTCAAAAAAAGGATGTTAGCTGCCACCACCACTACCTTTCAATTGTTTCTGAGTAGTATATGTGGGTGCGAGAGACTGGGCCGGTCAAGCATGAGGACACAGTAATAATTTTCAAAGAACATGGGTTTTATGTCCCCAAAATAACAAAATTCAAATAATGGTTACAGGGCCCTTAAAGGAGGTCCACTGAAGAAACTAAACTCAAGACAAAAAAACAAGGTTTAACATAACAAAACCTCTAACTAACTGCTCAAAACCAACAAACTGACCTCCCACACAACAAAAAAATAATAAATAGAATTAAATACTGGCTGATCAGACCAGACTGACACACTGAAGAAGAGGGAACGGAAACATCTACACAAATTTAACTAACAAAAATAACTAAACACAGTTAGCTTAAGAATTAACTTGAATGACTAATAACTAAACAAAATAAGCAAATCACAAAAGCAAAGAGAACTTGTGCAAAAATTAGAATAAAGACTCCATGGTGGAATTCCAGATGGTATCACCAGTCAGTCAGTCTGGGATTGGAGTGTGCCAGCCAGAGTCCATTGCTTCTGTTCAAGGTACTCCCCCACAGCACCAGCAAAGAAAGCACAAAAACTATTAAATATTTGACAAAATTAAAAATACAAAAGTTAACCAAATGTGCGCACTACCATTAGAACTAATGTAATTCAATATTGTCAAATGAAAATATAAACAGAAACCCATGTATTTATGCTGCAGTAAATGTGTATATGAAAACTCAAAGTGAAAAGTGTTGGTGTGTGGGATTAGCAACTGTGTGGCTGCAGGTGTGGTCGTCACAGTGGGAAAGACTGCAGCTGGAGAGTGGGTCTTCTCAGCTGCTGGAGTAAACTGACCAGTATTTGTGCCACTCCACCATGTTTTGAGACGAAGAATTCATAAGATACTATATTACTTATATTTTGTGTTTTTCTGAGTTCAGTGTTTGCGAAATTTGACTCCTTGGGAGACCTTCTGATATAAATAACTAAGTTTAGAAAACATTTTTATACTTGATGTGCAGTTAAAAACATGAAACTATAGTTGTGTGCATGATTGTAAGTATGAGTATTAATAATATTCTCAAAGACGAATATACCGTCTGTCTTTTCAGGTTATGGAAGCATGCAGCATTACTCAGTATTAAATAAATTGTTTCTCAACCTAATATTTTTTTTTCCCAGAAGACTCCGTCCTGGTTAATCAAGCCTATTAGTCTTTATTGGAAATACTATTAACAGATGAGCAGTTTCTGAGTGGAGTCATTTAGCATTTTCTTCCCACATTATTCTAAACTGGGAGGGGAAAACTGATATTATCAGAGCCTTGTTAATTCATCTAATAATTTCTCATTTATTTAGATGATGAGGTACATAACTCAACTCAGGCAGTTAATTATATACATGTAAATTAAGGAATATATAGTTTTGGAAATACAACATTTCTTTAGAGTTCTATGTGGTCAGGTTTGGGTTGGACACATTCCCTATTTTAGCATCAGTTTATGGTACAGCCAATCCTTTGTGTATCAGAATCTTTACTTTTTATAATACTTTATTACTGTATTGCATTAAATATAATATGATACAGAAACCAAAGAGAAAGGTGATAGAACCGTGCTTTAATGTACTAAATATAATACCATCTTATTTGCATGATGGAGAGTTTGTTTGTTGTGCTTGAGCATATTTCATGCATTTCACATTTAATGTTATTCACAGTAAGAGGGAAAATGTAACTAAAGGTGACTGCAAAATGTCCTATCACGTCTTTGAAGTATCTAGTTGAAGCTTTTAATGCACCTTCAGTAAGTATTTGTGTACTATGATGAAATTCATGGGGGGGTATGTTACTTTTGCCAGGACGTCACCATCCTGTTTGATTTTTCCAAATTTCAGCATCAACTGACCATCTAGGGATGAATTTTTGATGCCTTTATTAACAGACAATTTCATTATTCAGGGCAGACTGCCATAGATGAGATCCACGTTGGGACTAACCTCAGCCTGACCAGTTGTTGGCTCAACTCCCAGGTCGGTGAAAATCTCTGTTTCTTCAAACTATAAGAATGTCAGCAATTCCAATGAACCCAACATCATAAAATCAGTCAGTCATTTTCTACTGCTTATTCCATAGTGGGTCACAGGGGAGCTGGTGCCTATCTCCAACAGTCTATGGGCAGGTCCACCCTGGACAAGTCACCACTCCATCACAGGGCAACACACAAACAAGCAAGCACACACTCTTTCATACACCTAAGGGCAATTTAGAGAGACCAATTAACCTAACAGGCATGTCTTTGGACTGTGGGAGGAAGCTGGAGTACCCAGTGAGAACCCATGCATGCACAGGGAGAACATGCAAACTCCATGCAGAAAGACCCCCGGCTGGGAATCGAACCCAGGACCTTCCTGCTGTGAGGCGACAGTGAAACCAACTGCGCCACCGTGCATGTAACCATAAATGCATATTTATTGTAATGAATGAATCCAACTTCTGTAGAGCGCTGTGAAAAGTGATTTCCTCCTTACTGATTTCTTCTTTATTTGTCTTTTTTTCTCACACGTTTCATATCATCAAATTATGTTTTAACAGAATTAATACAAATGTAGATTCTTTCACTGGGGAAAAGTTAAAAGTCAACCTGGCCCAAACATATAGTCTTGTTAAATCATGAACTGTAATCAACTTAACATTTTGAAAAGCTGGATTAAATTTCAGTAAATCATTGAACTAGAGCCTGTCTGGTAAACTGAAGAAGGGTTAAAGATCTCAAGCAGCTTTCACCAATTTAAACAAATTAGAGAACAAATGGGTAACAAAGCTGTTGACATCTATCAGTCTGAAAAGGATTTCAATGCCATTTCTAAGACTTTTGGACTATAAAACTGAGATAGCATTCCAGAAAAAAACATCATATCCAGAGTGAAACATGGTGGTATTGTGATGGTCCTGGACTGCTTCCCTCATTCCTCTAAATTTCCTCTTTTTCAGTTCTAAGATATTTATCATGCTTTATAAATAGCTTTTTTGGGTTATGATAATTGGGCCATGCTGGTAAGCCTGTGTCAGCTGCCGATAAAAAATGAATCACCTTCAAGCCCAAGAAACTCTTAAATGACTCACACTAATTTTAATCCTAGATTTTAACAATATTTCTTTTGTATGTAACCTTGTTGGGGAAAAAAAAACAACAATGCATACATATAGGAAAACGTCAGCATTTAGAACCTCCAATCAGAGGGCAGAAGTTGTCATATCCAACACTTTGCAAGTTCACTGAGGTATCCAGATCCCTCAGGGCAGGATGAATATTTATCAGCAAAGAAGCACAATTCCTGCTGAGCTCAGCAACTCACCAGTGATCTGACAGGATGCATATACTGAGACGATAATCTCAATTTAAGACGTCAGTAAAAATCAAGCACAGATTTTCATGTTTCCTAGCAGAGTCATTGCACACCTCTACCACATTGGCTGAAGTTCACAGATTTCATTAGTACATCACAGTTTGTTGCGATCCAAATAAATGTTGTTCCACAGAGCTCAATAAATACCTAGTGTCATCATTTTATTTGTTGAATATTCTTATTTATAGATCTAAATTGTTACCTTGGAGCCATAAATTTGCTCACACCCCACTGATTCCTCCAGTTACTGAATAAAGCATAAGCCATTTAATATGGGATAGGTAATAATAACAATGAGAGGCAACCAGGATCAGCATTTGTGAACTCTCGCCATACGTCTCCGTTTAGGAGGCCTTGTAAAGATTCACACAGTTTGTGCTCCGAGCCAGGAGAAAATTGTGTGCCATTGCAACAAATGAATACCACCGTGTCTTTGAGGCAAATAAAAACCCTTTACTCTGAGTGGATCTGAACAGCCAGGAGTCATCTGCAGCTCTCCCTGGTGTCACCTCTCGCCTATTAGTCTCTATAAAGGATGATAAATTAGAGGTGGAAAAAACCTCAGCACCGATGCTGAAGTTATAAGAATGATAAAGTGAATAGTCTAAGCACCTTAATGGCCAATGAATGCAGAGAGGGTGCATAAAATCTTTTTTTTTTTAAAGGGGGATTTCCATGCTGATCTTTTAGTCCAGGAGGCCAAAACAAACAAGAATTTCAAATTAAAAGCTTTTCTGGATTGATGCTTGATGTTTTTCTTCTCTCTTGGTTGAAGAATTACTGTCAGGATAAAAAGAAACACGATTTATCAATCAAACTAATAAAACAGATCCTCTATTTTAAAAGTAAACACAACTGTAAAATATTTCCCAGGGGGCATGTAAGGCAATGTGCAAAAGTTTTAAACCTGTCCTATTTTTTTAATGCCTTGCCTCTACGATGCCTCAACAGCTTCAGAAGTTTTACTTTAGACCTTGAATAGATCTTTCATCCATCCTATATGAGTCAAGTTTTTGGTTAACAGCTCTTTGGGAATCACCTGATTGGTGCTAAAACAACTAATGCATGTCTCTTAAACGGTAAACTGTCTTTTTAATAAGTTGTCCGTTATACCGATAATCTCTAATGTTTATGGTTTTTTGCAGATTAGGTGGTTTAATTGACATTCCTCTAAATGTAGCTGGGTGCTCCACAAATAGCAAATAAAAAAAAAATAAAAATCTACAGAAAAACTTTAAAACGCAGTCAGAAAACCTGAAGAACTTGAAATGACGCTCAACCCTTTTGTCTCAAAGGTCACATCCCTTCACCTCTTTACTCTACATCACAAAAATAGTTAGGACATCCCTACGTGCCTGCATGAAGGCAGAAAACATGAAAGGATAGCTACAGAGTAGGGGTGAGAGGTAAAAGGGATCCAAATATATGAAACCAAATATATGTAGTATATATTTTTTTATGTAGTCAGAAATAAAGAGACAGAATCTCTGTCAAAGGACACAAATGAAAATAAAATGCTTTCAGTTATATTTGTAAGTAGAAATATAATTTCTGTTTTCATTAATATTTTGACCTGCAGTTACTGATTTTAACGTATTCTGTTTTCAAGAAGAAAAATAAAGAAAAGCACCAGAAAACATTCTGTTTACCCATGCCATTGTGAAATAGGCTTTCACAATGGTGTGTGTTTTTTTGCCGCCCTTTTTTTGACCCTAGAGCTATACAAGTCCTGGATGCAGGGAAGGTCAGCCCTGGTGGTCCTTTTTGCAGATCCTGTGATGGTGCATTTCTTGTGGATGGGGATGATAGTGGAAAGCTTGAACATGAAGGGACCTCACACAACTCCTTGAATTGTTGAAGATCTGAGTGAAGATGGGGGCCAGTTGGTCAGTGGTGGTTTTCAGGCAGAAGTATCATGATTTGCAGATGTTTGAGTTTTGTTTTGGGTCTGGCCTCTGATGGTTTTGTTTATGCTCTTCATGTGGTGCATTATAAGTTCATTACTTAGGTTTAGTTTCTTATATTTCTGTTCATTGTGCATTTTTGTTCTGTTACATCTGAAAGATTGTTGTTTGGTTAGATAGTTTTCTAGTATCTTTGTTCAGCTCCATTCACGTTTTAGTTACCACTCCCTGCCACAGTCATCTTGTAATTAAGGCAGGGGTCAGAGGTGAGAGGGGAGGGGGTTGTAGAGTTGTGGGTGGAGGGGTGCAGGTAGTCATTTTGTGTGGGAGTGGGGTGTGGCTGAATGGGCTGGAGGTGTGAATGGCTGTTTTTCAAACCTGCAGAAAAAGCTGTTGAGGTCATCAGCCAATTGCAGGATCATCACAGCGTGTAGAGACGGGCTCTGTAGTTAGGGATGTATTTCAGGCTCCTCCAAACTGCTGCTTGGTTGTTAGCTGAGAAGCTGCTTTTAAGCTTCTTGCTGTAGCTTCTCTTGGCTGCCCTGATCTCTGTAGTCAGTTTGTTTCTTGTCAGTCTGCCCAGGGCAGCTGTGGCTACAATGTAGTCTACAACTTTCAGTGTGTGAATGTGTGTGTGAATGGGTAGATGACTGATTGTAGTGTAAAGCACTTTGGAGTACTCAGACTTGATAAAGTGATACAAGTACAGGCTGTTTACCATTTACCTGCGCATTTTCCCCATTTGCAAATCCCAAAGATTCCAACCAGGATCTCAGAAAAACCCTCTGGATCAATGAAAACTGGAGAAAAACTGCTCAGACAGGACTGCCAGACACTTGAGTTGCTCCCTGGTGAAAGTGGCTGCTGTATAGCAGCAACGTACAGAGCAAATACAGAAAAAAAAAATTAAGTATGAGCAGGCATAATACTGAGGGGTCAATTCCCAGCGCCATCTTGAATTGAGGATCAGAGGGGAAGGTAAGAGTGCTCACTCAATGATCTGTGTTGCCAGTGGGTGGGCCCACAAACATTTGATATTTTCCTAATAGAAAAGTTGTATTTGTTTAAAAAACAATCTGTTTTCTGTTTCCAGTAATATACAATGGTACAATTAAAGTCATTTCTTACAGAGTTCAGTTTGAGGGGCTAAAACCCTTCAGGCCAGGTCACATTTTGAGTTGTTGTTTGTCAAATCAAGTCAAGTTTATTTATATAGCGCTTTTCAGGAACAAGGCACTCAAAGCGCATCTGTGTGGCTTAAATACAATTTGAGTCCATGCCTCATTACCATCTCTGTGTTGAGACAACCATACCTAACTTTTCTGTTGGAATGCCTGGATTGTGAGTAGCAAATCATTGTATTGAAAGAAACTGCTATTTTAAACTTGCATGGTGGTCTCAGTTTCCTGTTGTGGCCCACAAGCTATGCATAGCTACGCAGTTTTATGATTTAGCAAACAAATTAAGCTAACATTTTTACATTTTTAGGACTTTTGCCTCCTTTTCTCACATGTAGTCACATTTTCAACACAATTCAGACTTTATTTCTTAAAAAATAATAATAAATCAAAAATAAAATGAACACAAGGTTTTCTGTAAGTAGTTGTAGAGCAAATGTACGGTTTTCCACTAACAAGATTGGCAGGTCCTTCCCATATTTTGGAAAAATCCTAAGCTATCCACTCTAAAAGTGTATAGCCTCTGCAGGTACACCAAAATCAGAAAAGCTGCTTCCCTTAAAAATTTGTCCAACTTCCATGCATACAGGTTTTGATCACCTATCTGCGATGTACAAATGATGTCCTATCCAAGTAAAACTGAAAGTCCGGTAAGAACTACACAAATGTTCAATGGTCTCTGCAGCTCTTTGTGTGAATCCACAAGGGAATAACCATCAGCACTGAGATAAATGTGCTCCTGTCATTGGATGTGCTTATCACTAAGTGCTGACTAGGATCATTCATCAGCATGTCTACAAAAGAGATTTTTCACAATGAGTTTTAGTGCATTCACTATGATTACCCTCCACTGTTACAGAAGTGTATTTAGTGTAAAATATTAATGTTTTTTTTTATTATTATTTTATTAGATTAAAAATCTTCTAATAACACTGGCACTAATTATTAATCTTAAATAAT